AGAGAGAGAGAGAGAGAGAGAGAGAGAGAGAGAGAGAGAGAGAGAGCAGCGACCTTCCAACTGCGGCTCGCTGGACGCGTCGTGCTGACGGTGGGCCCTTCCTGCCAACATGTGTGTGCATGTGTGCGTGTGTGTAAAAGAGATAGAATAAAGGGTAGAGGGAGAGAACTGCATAGTGCAGTGGCCGCGCATGGGAACGCGCGCGACGCGACATCCTACACGGTAAACAAAAAACTCGAAATCCGAGGCGTGAAAAAAGAGCGAATTTCAGTTTTTGAGGCATTTTCTCGACTTTTAATGCATCGTCTCGATGTCGAGCATCCAAAGCCTGATTTAGAGCCGCTCAGTCCTGATTCCGAGATAACGAGCTCGAAATCCGGATATCGTTTCTCGAAATTCGGGAATTGTTTTCCGAAAACAGGTAAAGGGTGACTCGGTTTTGGAGACATGGTTACCCGATTTCGAGATCGGTAGCTCGGAATCAGGGCAACCTCGGAAATCGAGTTTCCCAGCTCGGAATCCGAGTTTTTTGTTTACCGTGTACCCGCTCCAACTATCTGAGTCCCTGGATGCTACTGCGCCTCGCTTTCTTCTTCTTCTTCTTCTTCTTCTTCTTCTTCTTCTTCTTCTTCTTCTTCTTCCTCTTCACACTGCCCCTTCCGTGAAGCTTTTGCAGTGGAACTCTTGTGTGCGGTGACCCCCCCGGGTCACGTCTATTTCCTTCAGACCAGTTCCCTCTCTCCCTTCTCTGTCTTTTACTTTCCATCCATTTCACGGGGAGCTGATGACGAGCGGTGGAGAGAGAGAGAGACAAAGAGAGACAGAGAGCTGGGCCGGGCGCTGGTCAGTGACGCGGTCAGCCCGCCCGCCTGGACCTGTGATTATTTGGCTCACGGGAAGTAATTACAGAGTGCATGAGCTGACTCCTGACCTACATTGCCTGCTACTCCCACCGATGGTACCCTATCTCTCCCCTCTCTCTCTCCTTTCTCTCTCCTTTCTCTCTCCTCTCTCTCCCTCACACCCTCGTGTGTCTCTCACCTTGCTGGGAGCCTGGGGCGCGGCGGACAATATGTTCCGTGTGGGAGGATGCTCTGGGCCCGGCCGGACTCACCCACTTCTCAGCCGCCCCTGCAGCGCGGCGCACCGCGGGCCCGCCCGGCGCAAAGTGGCACACTCACACATTCATAGGGGGCGTGCAAAGTGCGCGAGCGCGCGCACGCGTGTCATGCATATGCGATCCGAAAACCACCCGGCTTAAAAATCCTGGACAGGGGCGAGTGAGGCGCACGGCGAGGCGAGGTATGGCCCGAGACTCTGAAGGATAACACACAGACCCAAGCTCATTGCTGAAGTTCGCCAGAATTTGGCATCAAAGTTTGTGAACAGCAATCAAAGTTTTAAGATGTCCGCCGACCGTCAGGGATTGTCCAGGGATTACGTTCTATTTTTCTGTCACATTCTTTCGGCAAATCACTGGAGCTCGGCGCCTAGTGCTGGATAGGCTACCCAGCAGTACAAGAGTACATTGTACGCGTGATGTTGCCTTCCGAGCTTTGAGAGCTTGCACAGACTGCACTTTGCAGGTTCATAACGGTCAATGACGGACGTACTTTCTCGATGATCCCGTATCGACGATGGTCGCAATTCTGTAAATCGAATGGCAAGTCGAAGTTAGAAAAAATTAATCACACCAACTTTCAGCAAACTGATCGGCTGCGTGAGGGTCACGGATAGGTGGCAGGTGGATTGGAGGGTCGGGGGCTGATGGGACGGAGGGGGAGAGGCGAGACTGTCAAAAGCTGCTAACGAGAGAAAGGCACCGGTCAAGGGAGATGGGCCCGGCGGCGTAATGTTTGGGAAGAGAGAGAACCCGAGGCTGTTAATTTCGGAGCGCCATCATCACGGAGGTATCAAGTCACCGGGCCGTATAGGGAGAGAAACTCTCTCAGACGCAACCAGACGCACACAGGTGGTCAGCGCCGGGAGGATGAGGATGCGAGGTTGGGAGGGGAGGGGCAAGGGTCTAGTGCCAGTATCACAGCCAGCATGATGTAGGTCGAAGAAAGCCACCATCATCCTGCCTCCTGCTTCCCCGATGTGGGTCGAACATTTTTCCGCCGTGTGTCGAGCCTATGGGAGGCGGCTGCCGCAGCCTGCCGGAGGAATGTCCGGCAGGCCCTATCAGAGGATAAGAGAGAGAGAGAGGGAGAGAGAGATAGGGGGGAGGGGGAGATGAAGCTGTGGAAGGGAAAAGAGCGAGAGAGAAAGAGGCTGAGTAACTGGCCAGAAGTCTCTGGTCAGGGGGAAAGTCCCTCTAATGCCGGTGGGGTGAAAGTGAATCGGACATCGAGGAAGACAGGAATGTGAGAGATGAGAAGAAACCGGTCCTGGCTGGATGCTGCAGGGATGCTGCAGGACCAGGTGGGCGGGCCCCCTGACCCACATGTTTACATTATGTCGCCCTTGCATTTGCCCACGTCGCCCCATCGGCCGGCCGGCCCGTTTGCGATGGACGGCCCGGACAGCAGCCCTCCTTTGTTTGATCTTGTGACTTTTTTTAAATGCCTTTCTTCGTCACATTTAAATTGGATGGATGAGTCATTATTCGTCGTGTCCTGTCAGACCTGCTGATTGGCTGCGATGTGAAGTGGTTGTGGTTGGGGGGGGGGGGCAGACCTGCCCGACCCGCACTGCTGGAGCCAACTAACAGGTCCCTCATCCTTTTTTGTTTGGCTTTATCACCTTCCCTAACCACCTGTCGGTCTCATCAAGGAGGGGAAAGCAGGGTCAAGGGCGTGGCGGGGCGTGGCGGG